ACCCGTCACGCGGCTGTCACCAGCGTGGTTTATGGTTTCTGAGCACCAGGTCCCCGATGGGCCACACTATCCCTTTCTTTCCTTGCCAGTGAATCCGGACTTTGGAGCTCGTAAATTCAGTGGGGTTTCCCAGGGGCTGGCTGACAGCCTGGAGGTGCGGGTGAGGATTTACGGCCGAGCTCCGGGGAGCCACAGGTTCCCGGTGGGGGCACCGGAGGAGGCCGAGTTGCTCAACATGGCAAAAGGTGCCCACCCCGGTGGCTCAAAAAAGAGTGGCACTTTGTGGCCGTGAGTGAGGACGTGTGATTCACTAATGAGCCTGGGGGCAGCTGATTTCTACCGGGCTTTCGATGCACTGTCCGCTCTCTGGCTCCCAATACTTCTGGTCAGGTGGCCGGGGCAGGGTTCAAAGCTCAGCCTGACCCCCTGGCCGGCCTCTCCCCAGCAGCGTGGAGCAGCCCTTCTCTGCTCACGACAGGCTCTTTTCTTGTTGCTTCGTCCCCTGGCTTGCCTCCACTCCCCACGGGCTGGCTTGACCAGGCGGGAGCCTCCAGTGAGATGACTTGTACCAACTCAGCGTTCCTGAAGGGCGGGTCACGGGGCAGGGGCAGAGCCAGGGACTCCTCACCACCCAGATTCCCCCTGCTCTGTACAGACATCTCCAGTGCCCCCTCACTGGTCCCTGCCTCCGTCCTCTGGATCCCCAACCTTGACCGTATTCATCTTCCAGAGCCTGGCTACTGGGCTCAAAGCTGTGTTTTGTCACTTCCCAGCTGTATGATCTTAGACATGTTAATTAACCACTCCGAGCCTCAGTTTCTCATCTGTAAACTGGGGGTTTTTTACCGATTGCCTATATCATAGGGTTGTTGGGAGGATGGCATGAGATAATCCATGTAAGTGTCTGGCCCATAGTAAGTGGCCGAGAAGTGTTACGTTTTATTGGCATTAGTGTCATCATCGTGCCTACTCATCAAACTCACCTACTGGGCTCTGTGGCAAGATCACCTTCTGGTGTCACACTGTGTGTGTGTGTGTGTGTGTGTGTGTGACATTCCGAGAAGCCCCTTGCAGTCTGGATCCCATTCTGTATCCCCTAGACAGGCATCCTGTTATGGAGAGCTTACAGCTGAGATGCGTAGGCCAGGTTTCAGGGTGTGTAGATCTGGGTTTCTCAGGGAATTTAAGGCCACCTAGGAAATGTTTTTCCTGATCATCTTTCAGGTCGTTCACAGGTGGGAGGGGCGTGGTGATCTAAAAGCCTTCTCTCTAGCCCTTCTGTGGGCGCTCTGGGGTCCTCCCCAGGGCTTGAGCCTCCCCCAGTGCCCAGAGTCCTCCCCAGTGCCCGGAGTCCTCCTCAGGGCCTGGAGTCCTCCCCAAGGCCTGAGTATTCCCCATTGCCTGGAGTCCTCCTCAGGGCCTGGAGTCTTCCTCAGGGCCCAAATCCTCCCCAGTGCCCGGAGTCCTCCCCAGTGCCTGGAATCCTCCCCAGGGCCCGAGTCCTCCCCAGTGCCCAGAGTCCTCCCCATCACCCGGAGTCCTCCTCAGGGCCTGGAGTCCTCCCTGGAGTCCTCCCAAGGGCCCGAGTTCTCCCCAGGGTCTGAGTCCTCCTCAGGGCCTGGAGTCCTCCCCAGTGCCCAGAGTCCTCCCCAGGGCCCGGAGTCCTCCCCAATGCCAGATGCCCAAGGTTGTCACGCTGCCTACTCCCCACCTCTCCACCCATGACTTTGCCTGCAGGACCCCAGACCCTGCCTGCACCTGCCCTGCCTCCAGCCCCTGCTGGCTCCCCAGGCCAGGCCAGGTGCCTGCTGGGCCCAGTGCGCCAGGCTCTCCTGGCACACGGTCACACGGTGTCACACGGTGTCACACCAGTCACACGGTGGGGTGACTGGTGCCTCCCGCCCGCCTCGTTCACATATTGTTTGTGCAGACAAAGGAGAATGGAGTGTTGGTTTCAGGGTGTGACCCAGCAGGGCACATCCCAGTCAGGCTCTGCTGTCATCCTTTTTCTTTTTTCTCCCCTTCTCATTTCCGCTTTGGGCGATTGTGCAAGGGCCGCTTGTCAAGATAAAAATCACACCGCTCCACAGTGCAGCCCTGCCGCCCCTGATAGCCCAAGGATGTGCCGGGCGGTGAGGGGGGGAAGGGGCTGGGGGGGGGGCAGCGCCAAGGGCCACTGCCCAGGGACATGCCAGGTGGTGGGGGAGGGTAGGGAGCAGCGTCAAAGATCACTGCCCTTGACGTGCCAGGACAGCGGGGTGGGGGGGAGGAGAGGGCAGCTGCCTAGCCCCTGCCTCCTGCGGCTGTGCTACCTCTTCGCTCTGTGCCTCAATTTCCTCCTCTGTCTAATGGGCTGCAAAGGAGGGTTCATTGAGTCCATTTGTCCCAAGCGTCTGGAACAGTGCCTAGCTTCTGGCCCAGAGTGAGCTTTCCATAAGTGATGGCTATTTTATCAGGAATCAGGAAGGGGGCAGATTTTTTTGGGGGGGGAGTCCAATGTCCACTGGAATTTTGGGTAGGAACATGGGCCATCTGGGACGGATATATTCAAATCCAGCTGTTCATCAGAATCACTCAGGGAACTTTAAAAATTCATCGCACCAACACTGAGTATCTACTGTTTCCTTCATCAGCTTAGCCTTGGGAGTCAGATTGCCTGGGCTCCACTCTGGGCCACCGCTTAGAGCCTAATCACTGGATAAGTCATCTGACCTCACTGATACTCAGTTTTCTCATCTGCAGAATGGGTAGGTGCTCTTGGTGCCACTCCAGGATCCAGTGGGATGATGTAGCTGAATTTGGGAGTGACTTAGTCCTTCTCGAAGGTGCTGGGATGCAGCTGCGGGGAGGCAGGTGGGAGCCCTGCCCTCTCCTCTGGGACGAGTGAGTATGGGTAACAGGCTTCTCCTTCCACGGAATACAGGCCGCGTTGCTGTTGTTTCTCTACGGACCTAACTAGTCACCAGTTTCAAGCATCCGGACGACGCCGGCGCTGGCTTCGTGTTGCACGAACGCTCAAGAAACGAGGCCTTGGCCTTGGCGGTTCCCCGTGCACGGCGTCGGCATCTCTCCACACGGACGGACGAAGGAAGGGGCCGTCCTTGGCTGCCCGCTTGCTCCCGGGTCCCAGCGGCTCGAGGGCAGTGCAGGCCCCGGAGGCGTGTCTGTGGAGACGCGGGGTGGCGGCCGGTCCAGCCGGCCCCAGCTCTGTTCCCTGTTAACTGAGCTTTGTTCCCGCGCCAGGCCGGACGCCGGCGAGTGATTACAAGTATCAGGTCTGCTCCAGTGTCGGGTTACCCGCGCCGGCTCTGAGTCTGGGCAACGCCAAGGCCAGCTCCCCAGTCCGGAGCAGACTGGGGCGGGGCGGCCCGACCCGGGCCACCGCCTCCGTGGGGGAGGACCGCTCCCGGGGCCGCTGTGGCGTGGGGCGTGCGAGTGCGTGTGCGCGCGTGTGTAGGAGCGCCCGGGAGAGACTGCGTGCTCGTGGAGGAGTGTGCATCCGAGTGTGAGGAATATGGGGGGTGTGGAAGGGAGTACGTGAGTGTGTGCGAGTGTGCATGTGTGAGGGTGCGAGAGGGAGGGACGGGGACTCAGCCGGAGCCCGAGGTCAGGGGAGATAGAAAGGCCCCCCGTGGATTCTGTCCGGGATTTCCACAGGCGCGGCCTTGTGCCCCCGCCCCCCTGCCCGGGCACGCGGGGTCCTGGCATCAGGGCTCCCTTTACTTCCTCTCTCTGCCTCTTGCCCTGAGCACTGGGCCTAGAGGCTCCCGAGCCGAGCTCTCGGGGCCACCCCCATCTCGCCCTCCTTCCGGGGCCCAAGGCTTATCTGTGCCTCCAGCGGCAGGGGCCCCTCCCGGCCAGCCTGTCACCCCTGCCCTTAGACGACCCCCGAGGGGTCCTCCAGAGAGTGGGTGACAGCACCAGATCACTTTTGCAAGTGGACAGGGAGGTGGCTGGGGGTGAGGGTGGTTCTTTCTGGAATGCTTGGGGAAGCCGCCCAGAAGTCAACCCAGGAAAGGCAGGTGTCCTCCATGGGGTCAGCCCGCTGGGGGGCGGGGGGTGGGGAGCCGGGAGGGTGGTGGGGCCTCAGGACTGGAGGGGCCTGCAGGGACTTCCGGCCCGAGGGGGACAGCCAAGTCCCCGCCCAAGCGGACTGCTGAGTCTACCTCTCTCAATCTTGGGACCACCCGGGGTGGCAACAGTTTTATTTTGCCCCTTGAGGATATTACCATTGGGGCCCAAAATAGATGGCCACCGTGTCATAAAAGGAAGGACAGTTAAGAAAAGGGAAGTGACATGGTCTCAGTGTTTTCCAAGAAAAGACACTTAGTAACTGCACCAGAACATGGTTTGCCTTGGACCAGAGCGAGCCGGTGAGGAGGGAGAGTGGGGAGGCAGTGTTCTGGGGACGAGGCTGGCACGGCAGGGAGGGGGAGTGCGGGGATGGGCCGGACCACCAGCCCTGGGGGGTGGGACCAGTGTGCAGCAGGGCGTGCAGTTCTGGGGAGGGCTGTGGGAAGTGGGGGGAGGCCAGCTGGCAGAGGTGCTTCCTCCGCTCAAATCCTGGGGCCATGACTTACGGGGCTGTGTGACCCAGAGAAGTTACTCAACGTCTCTGGGCCTCCATTTCGTACCTTACATAGTCACAGTATCCTCAGAATAATCCCTGAGGCACACAATTTGATCTGTGGTATTATGATGCTGATTATTATTAAGAGGACTCCTTCCACTTTGGGGGAGGAGTCTCATGTGCAGAAGACATGGGACTTTCTGGGAGCACTGCCACCTACATCTGTGTCTGTTAGGTGGCTGTCTCCTGCCAACCACAGGACCTTGGGACGCATGGGGACTTTGGCTCAGTCACACCCCCTAGCTTGTGCCCAGTAGCCATGCTGACGCTGGCGCTGGCTAGTGCCAGATCCTGACATCTAATTCTTGAGGCATATTATGGGCAAACCATCATTAAAAATTAAGTTATATAAGCTCACAATGAAATTACATGAAAAACAAGGACAAAATGTATTCGAAACTCACCCCTTCCTAATTATTTCCCCCCAGTTTGCTGTTTTCTACGCTTCCGAGGTGACTGACGTGGGTTGTGTCTGTGTGGGCGCAGCGCCCCGACGCTGTGCCCTTCCTGGGTCTGTGCGCCTCGACTTTCCTTGGGTAACTTGACATTGGCTGTGGTGGAAGTGTTTATCCCACAGAAATTGGGGAGCGCCACAAATCAGGCCTGCCCGCCCCGGGAGTCGGTTGTGAAACACGCACCAGCACACAGCTGGCTTTGAGGAATCTCACCGACGACGGGTGTGCCTAGTACGCTTCAGGGAAGTCGTGAGACCGGCTGCCTCACGTGCGCAGGACGGGGAAACTGCTGGGCTTTCCCCCAACGATGGATTCATTTCTAAGTTCGTGGATATTGTTTTCTTGTGTGAAAATCATTTCCTCCCTTTTTTATTTCACTGCCAGAAAATGAAAAGTCAGAAATAAATTTGGGTCATGCCTCAGATTGTATGTTCTGCACGCTAACTTCACTTCTAGCACCTCATTTTCCGACTTCTATTTCCTCTTTGCTTGGTCCCTCCTTCTCCTTTGTACATTAATGTTTTTTTACAGCTTTATGGACATATAATTGGCCTACGATAAGCTACACGTATTTAAAGTGTACAGTTTGATGAATTTGGCCACACACATATTTAACGTGCATCCGTTAAACCATCACCACGACTGAGATTCTGAACATCTTCATAACCTTTGGAAGTTTCTCCCTGCCCTTTTCTCCCCAGGACACCTCTGATTTGCTTTCTATCCCTGTTGATTAGTTTGCATTTTCTAGGGTTTTGTATAAATGGAACCTGTAGTATATACTGGTGTTTTTTTTTCTTTTCTTTCTGAGTCTGGCTTCTTTCACTTAGTACAGTGTTTTTGAGATTTATCCACATTGTTCATGTATCAGTAGTTTTGTTTCTTTTTATTGCGAAGCAGTACTCCACTGTAGGGATACAGCACGATGTGTTTATCCATTCACCTGTTGGTGGGCGTTTGGATTGTTTCCAGTGTTCGGCTATTATGAAGAAAGTCACTTTAAATATTTACGTACAGCTCTTTATGCTTTCACTTTTCTTGGGTAAATACCTAGGAGTGGAATGGCTGGGTTGCATGTTAGATACATGTTTCACTTTTAAGAAATTGTCCATTTTAGTTTGTTTTGTTTATCATGCTGTGTGATTTGGGACCAATGACTTAACCTCTCTGAGCCTCAACTTTGTTATAAAACTCAATGATGCAATTTATATCAATTTCTACCTTTTTAAAAATTTTTTTATTTTTAATGTTTTTTATGTTTTATTTATTTTTTGAGAGAGAGAGAGACAGTGTGAGCAGGAGAGCGAAAGAGAGGGAGACACAGAATCTGAAGACAGGCTCCAGGCTCTGAGCTAGCTGTCAGCCCAATGCAGGGCTCAAACCCACAAACTGTGAGATCATGACCTGAGCTGAAGTCGGATGCTCAACTGACTGAGCCACCCAGGCGCCCCTCAATTTCTACTTTTATAGAACTGTTCCGGATAAGACAGTCTTTGTGAAGATGCTTAGGGCTCCCAGGGAGAAAAGTGACTTTGAAAGAGCCTGGATATTATTACCCCCATCATCAAACCCCCAGAACTCTTTGAGGAGATTGCTCATCTCTCTTGTGGACCTGAGGAGGATGCTGGGGTGGGGTGGGGAGCACTTTAGATTCCCACCAGATTTTTATTCCCCGACAGTTTCCCTTCTCCCCCCACCCCCCCAACCCTCAGCCTTTGAACGGTGCTGATGCTGTCACAGATGGTGGGTCTGTGAACTACCCACCAGCTGACCAGGCCTGGTCCATGGGATGAGTTCTTCTGATGTGTGAAATGTCCTAATCAGGTTCCTTCCTTCCTTCCTTCCTTCCTTCCTTCCTTCCTTCCTTCCTTCCTTCCTTCCTTCTTTCCTGTTTATTCTTGAGAGAGAGATAGACAGAGTGCAAGCAGGAGAGGGGTGGAGAGAGAGAGAGAGAGAGGGAGACACAGAATCCGAAGCACGCTCCAGGTTCCGAACTGTCAGCACAGACCCCGACGCAGCCTTGAACCCATGAACTGCGAGATCATGACTTGAGCTGAAGTCAGACGCTTAATCGACTGAGACCCCAAGCATCCCTGTTAATCAGGTTTCTATACCCCTCAAGTCAGTTGATGACCTTGTCCCCAGACTCAAAAGCAGTATTGGGCTACCAAATGCCCCCCCCCCCCAACCCCCACCACGACCGCTGCACAAACTCCAACATCCAAAAACTTGGTTAGAGGGTGAACACTTTCACAGAGGATTTGGAAGGATTCTGTGGCCCTCTGAGGCCTGAGGTCTTGCTATGCCACCATTTCTGTGCCGTGGATAATGGTGCGATTGTCCTCAGCAAGTCTGTGTGAACGGGAGGGAGGCGGTCAGGGAGACTTTCCCACCTGGTGTGACCAAACATGTCTGACCTGGTCCGGAGGGGCTTCGGGAGAACGGGTCGGGGAGGAATTGGGAGTAGGGAGAGGGTTCAGCGGGCAGGCTGGTTAAAGGAGACACCACCGGAGACTCCAGCCCCTCAGGGTGACGGGCACAGAGGCTAGGGATTCTCCAACGTGGCCAAACCTTACGGTGAGTGGTCCCTCTGGGTCCCCAGCAAAGACAAGTCAGGGGCCGGGGAATGCCTCCTCCTGGCCCTGACACACGATAACAGATGTGTGCTCCCCAGAAGATGCAGATTCAGAAGGAAAATGATTTTCTAGATGAGTCAGTGTGTCCAATCTCCCTGCCTCTTCATTTATCTGCAGCCTTTCATTTCATGTACTGGTGACTGGGGCGGAGGTAGGAGGTGAGGCAGGGCACTGGGGAGGGAAGAATGATGGAAAAAAAGAAAAACAGACAGAAAAAAGATTTGTGTCAGCAGATGAAAGCGCCAAGTTTTTCATGTGTTTCTGGGGAAATAAAATAGAATTTGCAGTGCTTACGCTTGACTGTAAATCAAGGCGGCTGCTTCGGGCGGCTGTTGGCTCTGCGTTTGCTCTGGGGGGCTGGGGTGTAGGTGGGGTGCGGAGGCAGCTAGAGCGCGTCCTGGCACCGGGCTCCATGCGAAACCAGCCTCAGTTATGGGGTCTGAGAGAAGACAGAAGCTGGCGAATGAAAATCAGCGGGCCGTGGGGGGCAAGGGGCAAGGACGTCTGCTAACCTGAGGCGGTTCCCGGTTTGTTCCCTCTCCCATGACGTCCAAGCCCAAGTTCAAGTTCTTTGCTGTAGGCAGTAATGCTTGAGCCTGGGGGATGGACGGAATGAAAGAGGGAACAATTTTAGAGCGTGCTGTTAGGGCGGGGTGGGGGGGAACTTTGCAAGCAAAATTGGACTTTTGCGGGGCTCATGAGTCTGGAAAAGGTTTTGTAGAGCTGCTCCAGCTTGAAGGGCTCTCTGTGGTGATGAGATCTTGCTGAGTTTTCCAGTTTGATGAGTTATTTTGTAAAGTGGAACTGGATGGGACCAGCAGCCCCTCCCACCCGGAGAACCTTCTCTTGCCTACTCAAACCCTTGCCCAGCCCATCCCTCCACATGCCCCCTGCCCCCCATCTCGAGGATGTTGGGGACTGTGTTCATACCTGCTTATTCGTGTTTCTCTTTGGCTCTCTTATCTGGGTTGGAAGCAGAACCCAAGCCCTCCCTTAACCTGTTGAACAGACCAGTAGAATTCATGTAGCACACACACACTTGTGGACAGAGGCCGGGGGACACATGTGTGTGTGTGTGTGTGCACGCGCGTGCAAGACAAAGGGGGAATCTGCCACCTGGGGGCTGTGGGACACATGGGTGTGATTCCCTTGGGTCCCGGGAGACCTCCGGCAGAATCACCGAAGGGGTTAACTTTGGCGTTGCGGGTTGGGCCCTCCGGAGGATGGGACTGAGCTTTTCAAAGAGGGAAATTGGCTGTAGGCACGCACGCTGGTACCGCATTTCTGGGGGGCTGTTGTAAGATGAGGTGGAAGCCTTCATCCTGTCTGCCCTTCAGCCCAGTCACTGCATGCCCGTGACACCATAAAAGCTCAGTTACTTAATCCCTTTGTTCCTTCATCTGTAGAACTTCATCTGTAGCTCATCTGCCAGCTCCCCTGTGCAGAGGGCTGTCCTGGGGATACAGGCTTGGTACCCAGTGGGTGCCAGTGCCAGTGAGACTAAAGGACAAACCAGAGTGTCAGTGAGGCTTGAGTGACCTGCCCCAGGGCGCAGAGCGGAGCAGCCGCATGGGGTGTGGGGCTGTCAGCCCCGTGGAGGCCTGGGGGCTGGGCGTGGTGTGCTCAATGCTGGGTGTGGGGAGAGAGGCCAGGGTGTCAGTCTACCTACCTTTCCTCAGTTTCTCCATTTGCCAAATGAAGCCAATGCTCCACTTCCTTCTCCTCTGCCTACTTTGTGGGGGAAAGCAGATGCTTCCTGGTTTGGGGTCTCAGGTGGTTCTGGACCCTTCCAGCAGCAATAGGTAGTGGCAGGAGCCCCCGCTCGCCCCCCCATCTCAAATTCCTGAGTACAGCACGGGGTGGGGGGGGGCTCAGGAAAGACAAATACACACTCACCTTTACTCACACCTGCCCTCACACTCTGTACGCTCACATGCATGCTCTCACATACTCGAATTCACGTGACACACACACTCCCATATACTCCCGTTTTCACAACACACTCACACACACACTCCCCCCCCCCCCCCCCCCCCCCCCCCCCCCGTCTCCGTGAAACACGTCTCCCCCGGCGTGCCTGGCCGATAGGAGTGATTCCCGTCCTGCCCTGCCTCTGTAAGTGATCCTGACGGCTGAGGGAAGGCCGCTCGCCCACGAGGCTGAGAGGCCCAGAGAGGCTGGCTGAGAGCGATAGCTTTTCATTTGCTGGTTAGTTCTGAGACACGGTGGTGTGTTTGCGGGGCAGTAATTAGTAGCTGTGTTATGGGAGAGAAGAGGCCCAGGGAGGAGGCCCAGCCCTGCCCGGGCGGGCGGGCGGCTGGCCTGGGGACCAGCCTGTGGCTGAGACCCCTCGTGGGGGGCCCGGGATAGAGCCGCTTTAGTGTTAACATAAATGAAACCAGGGTAAGGAGACAAGCACCCTCTGTGAGGGGAAAGAGATGGAGAAAGGAAAGGGGGCTGGGGGGAGGCCTGTGCGTGTCAGTGGAGGCACGAAGCCGGCAGGGGTGAGTCGTGCCTGCAGGTGGGGACCCTTGGGGGCCGCAGAACTGTGGCCAAAGCCACTTGACCTCACGAGCCCTCCGTTTCTTCCCCTGTAAAACAGGACAAAACCCCTACCTCCTGTGGTATCGTGAAGATGGGATGGAATAGCGAAGGCCAGACTGAGCACAGTGCCCCAAACAGGGGACTGTATTACACACACATCTCGTGTGGACCCCTCGGCATGTGCCCGGCACCCCCGCTGGGAACCCACGCTGGGTTCCTCACAGGTGCCCAGGGAGCAAGGAATAATGATTATCACCTGGGTTTTCCATGGGAAGCAAGTGAGGCCCAGGTAACTTGCCCGGGGTCGTCCGAGGCCAGAGCCAGCCCTCCTGACGGTCAGGCTGAGTCACCACACTCTTCTGCCTTCCTCGCAAGAGGTGAGGGGTGAAAACAGTTACTGTTGTTTTTAGGGAGGAGAGATGGAGAACCAGCTGGAATGGGCTCTCTGGCTTAAGTAGGTGTTCATATATCTTCCTCATGTCACATTCTCATTAGATGGCGTATTCTACTGCCTTCCGGAAATGCGGGTGAGGGCCTGAGCGCCTGCTTCCTTTCGCCAGTGAGCTCGGCTTGCAGAAGGAGCGATGGGCAGCCAACCGTATTTTACACTAAGAGATTGTGGGTTGATCTCACTTGTGCTTAAAAATTTATAATGTCTCCATCCAGACTTTTCCACACATGGCACATTCCTTCAATGACGCTCCATTGTGGTTCATAAAAATGACTCATCTTTAGGCTGCTTTCATGTCACAGATGGGGAAAAAAATCCTTCCTCGAACGTCCCAAGACTGGGAAAGAAGCTGCTGGAATGCCGCATGGGTCCAGATCCGAACGGCCCAGAAGTCTTGCCCCTGAGGATAACTCGGCTCCCAGGACCCAGCTCCCAACCTATACCAAGTTCATATCGTGCTTTTGGGAGCCTCCGGGCCCTCCAGACATCAGTGACATGTCACCACCTCCTTCCTGCACACTTACCAAAGGACAGAAGTGACACAGTACAGTCTTTCTTTTCTTTTTAAATTTTTAATGTTTATTTATTTTTGAGAGACAGAGTGTGAGTGAGGGAGGAGCAGAGAGAGAGACAAAATCTGAAACAGGCTCCAGGCTCTGAGCTGGCTGTCAGCACAGACAGGGCTCAAACTCACAGACCGCGAGATCATGACCCGAGCCGAAGTTGGACGCTTAACCGACTAAGCCGCCCAGGCACCCCTCTTATTGATGTTTAAGTGTTGTTTTGAATCCTGATGTGGACAGAACGCTTGGAGACGGCTGCGTCCACTGGGTGAGCCTTATGTCATGCCGATGATTAGCCCTGGAAGTCGTGGTCATAAAGCAGGTGATGAGTGACCTCGCTCTCCTGGAAGCAGAGAGAAGGATTGCCATTTAGACCATGAAATATTATTGCCTTTTGCAGGATTGCACCACCAAGCACAAAAAAAGCCACACGCTGCTTGGCTTTTTGGCCATCCTCCTGAAAATCTCCTTTCTCCCTATTAGAGATTTTTTTAAAGTTTATTTATTTTGAGAGAGAGGAAGAGAGCGAGGGAGTGCGAGTGCAGAAGGGGCAGAGAGAGAGAATCTCAAGCAGACTTTGCACCATCAGCACAGAGCCTGATGCAGGGGCTTGAATCCACAAGCCTCGAGATCACGGCCTGAGCCCAAGTCAGATGCTTAACTGACTGAGCCACCCAGGCACCCCTCATTAGAGACTTTTGATTTTTCTGACTTTCCATAAGTCACCATTATCATCATATCACCAGCCCCCCTAGGCCCCTTCATCTTCCTTTGTCAAGCCCAGCCCTCTCCGCTTGTTTACATTTCTGGAAAGATGGGACTACAGAGCGGAGAAGTGGCTCTCAGCAGTGTCCACCAGGCAGCCCCTTTCCGGCAGATACAAAGCCAGACCATCATTTCCCCTGTGTTGGGAAGAGAGTTTAGCTCTCAGCTGAATTTAGAGATTAAAAATTCCCATGTGGCTGGGGCTCCTGGGTGGCTCAGTCGGTTAACCGGCCGACTCTAGCTCAGGTCGTGATCTCACAGTCTGTGGGTTGGAGACCCAGGTCAGGCTCTGTGCTGACAGCTCAGAGCCTGAAGCCTGTTTTGGATTCTGTGCCTTCCTGTCTCTCTGCCCCTGCTTGTGCTCTCTCTCTCTCTCTCAAAAATAATAAACGTTAAAAAAATTAAAAAAGAAATCTCATCTGGTGAAGATTGGAAGTGATGTACATAAATCACACCCGGCACCCAATAGTGGTGCAGTCATTCTTATTATTCCAGGCACTTAGATGTTCAGGACAGCATTTTTCCGCCTTGTGCTTTTATTGAGATAGAACGAGCACACAGCACTGTGTAAGTTCAAGGCATACGGCAGAATGACTTGACTTACACACGTTGACAAATGAAGACCACAGTAAGTTTGGTTAACATCCATCATCTTGTGTGCACAGTCGTAACTGCATGTATGTGCCTATATTACGGAATTAAACGTCCTAGAAAGTGTCTGCATGACAGATCCGCTTCTCTTGAAAGATCCAAGAGATCTTTCTACCAAAAAAAAAAAAAAAAGCAACGTTTTTATTTCAAGATAATCATAGACTTATACACAGTTGTAGGAAATAATGCAGAAGAAACCCACATGGCCCTCCCCCAATTTTCCCCAAGGGAACATCAACATAACTTAGCACCGTAGCAGGGAACTCACGCAGACACAATGCATTGACAGTTAACATGAATACAGTTTATCAGCCTCATTCGGACCTTATTACGTGCACCCATTTGTGTGTGTGCCTATTTAAATAGGATCACATTTTATATTGTAAATGATGCTGAGATCTTATATTTTGGTCAGAGAGGCACTTTTTCATTTTCTAAAGAACGAGTGGGTTGTGACAGTTGATCTGTCCGTTTCTCCTGCGAGCCAGCAGGCCCCTTCGGGGGATGTCTGTCTTCTGTGGCTTTCTGTTCCCAAAGCCCAGCCAGGGCTTGCTTCGCATCAACAACCATACAATAAACACTTATGGAGCTCCTACTGTGTGCCGGGCTGTGTTCCAAGTGCCTTGTCCTGTAAGGCGCGTGCCGGTGTTATTATTCTCACCTTGCCGGTGCGGAAGCAGGGTTAGGTGCTCAGTAAACACTTGATGAATGAATGACAGGGTCTTCCAGCCCAGCCATACCAGCACCCGTTATTTGGGAAGGCCCCTTTCTCTTATGATGGGCTCCCAGACTCCACAATGTCAGAAAAGAAATACCACTCATGAATTTCCCAAACATTTCTCCCTCTTCTGGAAGCATCACATAGGAATTAAGGGCACAGTTTCCAGAGTCAAACTACATGTGAGTCCAAACCTGGCTCTGCTACTTAGCACTGTGGCCTCTGGTAAGTTACTGAAACACCTCCGGGCCTCAGTCCTCTCATCTCGAAAATGGGTGAATAATAGAACCTGTCTCAGAGGCTTGTTGCAGGGGTTAAGTAAGATGTGGAAAGGTCTGAGAGGGGGGCCTGGCAACATTCAGGGTCACACCCATCAGCGGTTATACCTTCTGTGATTTGGACACCCCCCTAAGCTGCTACCCTACAGAAAGCTGAAACAGAGCAATGTGGTACCAATTTGTGGGTCTTTCCCCTTATTATAATTAAAATTCTTATTTCCCCCAGTGCTTCCAGGCCCAAGACTTGAAGACTCTGGGTTCAGGGTGTAACAATAACATTTATCTTGGGAAGGCTGTTCTGGCTGACGCTCGTGGCTC